AGGGTTTGGGATTTTGGGTTTGGGCTTTCGGGTTTGGGGTTTGAGGGGTTATATTATAGGAGTTGCATACACGGAAAAGAAAATGGAAGCTACTACTTAGGGTTTAAGGGTGTAGAGGTTCACCTGCAACAGCAGAAACACAAGCTAAGTGTTGTTCATGTGGTTTTGGGCTTGAGGATGAGGTATCCTAATCATCCTAGAACCCTATCGGTATATAGGAAAATCGCGGAGTAGCAGTGCTCAGTTTGAGAGGTTCAAGTGGGGTGCACGAGTTACCCTCCTGAACCCTTTTGTTTTACTTTGGGCTGCAAAGAATCTGAGATTCGACTTTGGAAAAGCCATTGTAGATTTTCGCTCTAAGAGTCGCCAGTTGTCCGAAGAACTTACGCTCCCCGGTTCGGTGTGAGAGCGCAGCCGCAACTGCAGCAGCATTTGGCTGTTGGGGGTCCTGCCTTCGGGCTCCAAACTTTCAATGAGTGCTGGCGATGTCAGACGCTAAAGACTTGGCTACAGTATCGCCTGATAGAGGGATATAGAGGTCAGGCCTGAGAGCGCGTGCCGCATCTGCTCCACAGGGGGTTACATGAGCTACGGTCAAAACTCGGCATATAAGCTAATGGACGCCAAGAAGGGGGTGTCGCTTTTCAGGTGGTCCCGTCGCTTTNNCTGTGATTGCTCGACATGTCCACCGCATACAAAATTCCTTACAACCGAGTATTGACTGTGGCTCACATAACGTAGTGCGTTTTTAGCTTCCACCACAGCTTGTACAAATCCACAGGCCTAGCTTCCGTCTCATTGGTTTCTCTCCTGTCCTCGCATATCGTGCGGCCCATGGCCAGCTGTAAGGTCTGACTAGCTTCGTCTAGTCGAGGCTGTGTCTTTGAAGAGCCCAGTGGAGGGCGGAACAGGGCCAGGGTCTGCTTCACAAGGGATGGAACGGCCTCCCTCTTAGGGGAATCCCGCGTAGGGGAACCGCCGTGGGGCCCAAAGCCCTTCGACAGGTTTGGCCATTCACTGATGTGACCCTGACCCCAAATCCCGACAAAATCGTGACAAATTCAGGACGCGTATTTGTTTGAACTTGCCTTTGTAACATTGCAGCAGAGGCACCTTGCCTCAAAATTGAACCTCTATACATTGTTCAAGCTGCAAACTTTAAAATGCACTCAAGTCATGTCTGAATTCTCGAGGGCAAAAGAAGGTCATCAAAAGGACGGGGCGACCACCAGGAACCTATCCAAGAACCTCTGGAGAACGCGGAACGAAGTTGTCCTTGGTGGCTCTGGCCCCACCTCATTTCACCCTGAATTCAATTCTCGAGGAGCCTTACGGCGTCTGCTCAAGCCGAGCCTTACATGGCCTGTGCAATACCGTCAGATCCTCAAGAATCTCCCGCATGCTCAAAGGCCGAGATGGAACAGTGCACGAATCACGGCTGGCTGGGCTCAGCGGGCATGCTGGCCTCAGGAGGAGTCGAGCTCTCACCCATGTCACTCGTCTGCTTCGGGCAAGAATGGCCCAAACAGAACTAGCCAAGTTGAACACCTTATCTATCTATGTATCTATGTAAGGACGTATGTATGTATGTATGTATGTACGTACGTACGTACGTACGTACGTACGTACGTTGTATGTATGTATGTATGTATGTATGTATGTATGTATGTTGGTAGGTAGGTAGGTAGGTAGGTAGGTAGGTATGTTGGTAGGTAGGTAGGTAGGTAGGTAGGTAGGTAGGTATGTACGTATGCATGCATGCATGCATGTGAAATTTCGGACTTAATTCCACCACTACAAACAACATCCAAGTCATGTCGTGGTCCTCCTGAATCTTGTTCGATTGCCACGTCTAATGAAGTTGGGGACTTTCTGCCGGGGTGCACGGCTGGCTTGTCGGCAGACTTTATCAAAGTCGGCTTCCACCTCAGATGACTGAACTGCTTACTGTCTGCTGCGGGCATCGCTGTCTGCACAGGTCAGGCCTCATGCAATGCTTCGATCATGTGGCCCATTTCCACGTCGAAGTTGGCGGCCTTAAGCTCTACCCTCAACTCTTCTAAACAGGAGCCCTATGCTGCTCGCATCAAAAGCTGATGCAAGAAGATTTCCACGCAAGGCGAAAAAACGATTCTGCCGCGATGCTAGCTTGTCACTGCCGGACTCAAGCTGGCTCAGGCGGTTTTCCATGTTGGCCAATGCGGTCTGCGCCTCTTTCAGGTCTGCGGAGAACCGTTCCTGCAGGTGCCAACTAACATGCATCTTAAACGAATACCTCCCAGTTCCGCGCTCACAGAATGGATTACGGGCATGTAGAGCTTCAAACGTAGGAGTTAAACCGTCCAGGTTGCTTTGAGGTTCGGGTTTCTTGTGCAAAGATGTGTGACAGCGCAGGATCCTGGATATGTATAACAGCACTCACAGTGATAAGACCCCTGACCTGCTCCAGCTTCTTGATGTAGTCCTTAAGCAGCTGACGGCAAGCCATGTAGGCAAAGCCCACACTGCCAGTAATGGAGGCCGGAATCAGGAGTGCCCTGGGGCCCGACACCACATTCTCCGTGTAGATCCCCACGAGACCGCCCCCGAGGTAGAAAATCCACAGCCTAGGTGGCCACAGTGATCCTAAGTCCTAAGGAAGACATCTTGCTTTGGTAGGTACAAATAGGCTCTGAGCCCGCAAACAAGCTAAAAGATAAACGCTATGGCTATGTTTCCTAGGAGCCCAGCCAAAACTCCCAACTTCCGTGCGTCCACGCCAATCTCTGCGCGTTCGATGTCATTCAGTTCGCTGCATCGGCAAGCTCTCCTCAAGTAGATCATGCTGATGCGACCCAAAGTCGAACCAATGTCCGTCACGGTGCCAGTCACCTTGCAGGTCTTCCAAATGTATCTACAACCCTGCGCTGCCTACGGGTGGTACTGGACTGACCTTAGCACGCAGGCTTCCAATCAAAAGTCTCTTCCCGAATCGCAGCCCAGGCAACATGCGTAGTCCGGATGATGGCGCCGAAGTGGGACGTGCACATCGCATTCTGGAGGCCGCAGGCAGTTGCGACCAGGCAGGCTGGAAGCAGCCGGCCCGGCACAAAGGAAGCCAAAACCAGCAGAATGGAGTTCAAAACGAGGGCGAGTCCATAGAAGGCCTTCCTGCCACTGTGCAAGCTAAGCGAAGTCAGCAAAGATCTGCACCCTCCACCGTACTTTTGAGAATGCTGCCGTATAGTCAGGTACTTTGTAGCCCGTTCTCATAACGCCTTTTTGTCGGGCAACACAGACGGGTTCTATGAACCATGTTCAGGCTTCTCCAAAAAAGGCGATGTATGGGGACATGCGGGGATTACAAACCGATTTTAAGGTCCAAGGATGAAAAGGAATGCTTCGATCCTGCTGAGGATGGACGGGGATTCTGTTCGAAAGACTCCCAGAATATGAATCAACAGAAACACAGATGCTCAACACGCATGCACTGCAGGTAGAACTTGTTGGAGCCATAGGAAAATGGCAGCGTTGCATCTATGCAGGTTGTGAGCCATGCTGATTACGGCTTGATATGGATTGTGCTCAAAAATGATGGGCCTTTCTTGGTTACAAACTATATATTACGCATTATTACGCGACCTAATATTTAGGGGTACCAAAATGGGACCCTAATTATGGGAACTACTCAACTGGCCCGAAGAGTCCGGAGTGACGGAGTGTTATCCCATCCTGTGAAGCTATTCCAAGATGAAACGTGCTAAACATCTTTGGAAGGCTCCCCAAGAGGTGCACTTGATTCTTGTCAATGAGGATGCCGCACGTGTAAGCTCCGATCAGGAAACTGAAAACCAGCAGACACGCTTCCATCAAGGTCTCTGAGCCATATTCGCCCTGCTGGTATCCTTCAAGCCGGAAGGCTATGTTCGAGGTGCTGCCAGTAACATGCGAGGCATACAGGCTCCAGCACTTGTAGGCAATGACATTCGCAGCGCCGGCACAGGCGGCCAAGCACCAGCCGAAGCCCATGACCCAGAACTTGGGTCGCTGGAAGCTCTTTCTAATGGCAGCGGCCTTCCTTGGTGCTACGCACAGTTCGCTTGCTCGAGTGCTTCTCACAACTGAGTATGGATCCCTTGCCAGGGATTTTGTAATGAGAACCATCCTACCTTGAGGGGTGGAGAGAGGAACATCTGCATCGGGCTGGACCAGGAAGACTCTTCGAGCCAAGACTCTCTTGGATGATCCTGGCAGAGCTGGACCTGGACATGCGGGACGGGGAGAACGGCATCTTCTCAACCGCAGTCTGCGCGATCTTCTCGTCCTGCGTCATTGCGACTGGAAGAAGCCACTCCTCCGACTAAACCCGATGCTTGAGATGCAAATTTGCTGCAGCGGGCAAGAAGTGCAACAGCGCAAGGTGCCAATGGCGACAAAGGAGCAGGCCGTACATTGGCTGTCTTGTACTGGCAACTGCCACCTGAATCCCACCCTGGGCTAGCCGCTAGCCTCATCACCAACACAACCAACAGTTTATCAAATGGCAACCTTCTCCCGACATGATGTTTTGGGCATGGTGCCACTCACAGCCAGCCTAGGTGGCATTTCCTATTCTCGTACAATGTGCTCACCTGGCTACGGGTGACGACGAAGATCATGCTGAGACAGTCTGCTTGGAAAGACCGTCGGAACAGCAAAGATGCCTCACATCTCGTACCGAAAAGACAAGTTTGACAAACGCGGCGAGGCTATCGACACAACGAACATGAGTTAACATTATTGGGCAAAAACGATGCACCATGGTATGAAAGGAAGATACGGGAACAATTTGGGCATAGCAGTTCAGTTTTCAGTGCATGGCATCTCATTCTGGAGGGCAATTCGAAATGGAGATGAAACAACACCACTACTAACTCACTGTTATGCGCCAAGCTTACTTCGGACACACTGCTATCTACGTGCGCCAAAAGCCAAGAAAAGGAGAATGTCATGCCTGCAGGGCGGTGGCAACGGGATCAAGCTCGTATTCAAGACCGCCAGAGTCCAAAGGGTATGCTTGTAGGAGCTCCTGTCGCCGTCGGCTTTGCAGGTGCTGAAGTCCGGTGCAAGTCCTGGACCCTCTGCTGTAAAGTTGCATCAAGAGTTGTGATTTGTTGGTGTTGCTACGATGCTGTGGTCGGACCGCATTGACGTTTCCTGCTGCTACAGCACGTGTCAAACAGAACGCTTAATACACCTGTGTCCAGCAGCTAGAAGAGCCCCACGCACTTCAAAGAAGAATGCAGAAGCCCCGTCTGACTAGACTGAGTATTTCTCAACGTGATGGGCCCTTGGGAGACTAGGGATTAAAACCAGACTTGAAGTTCGTAATTTTTCACAGCTGGAAGTCTTGGATCCACTTCAAGGAGAGCCCCGCTCCTTCATGCTCGGAGGCGGATCTTCCGGACTTAGTCACTTCAGCAGTTCCGACTAGCAGGGGTCCCTTTGGAGTGTCCCTGTAGAATGAGGATCCCCTTACATTCGGGTTTATGTCGGGGCCCCTTTTATGGAACCCCCCACTTAAGCACTCAGTGTACAAATGTCTGGCAATGCAAACTCATTGCCTCTCTGAGTGATGACTACTCCTAGGTTTCTAGATATGACAGAACTCACATTAGAAGCTGGTGCTTACATGCAGCCCATGAGACCGTGCTTCGGACACCATAAATGCTTCCTTCTTCACCCCAATTAGCCTCGACTTGGTCTTGCCCTCATGTTTGTCAAACACCCTCCTTATACCCTTAATTGGGGATATATGGTCCCTAATAGTAGGTACTTAGGCCCTAATTCAGGGTAGCAGGAGGGTCTAGGGAAATGGGAAGACTTGAGGAAACCCTATGCCACCAATCCCGGCATTAAGCCCTTCTGTTGCGCCGGATTTAACTTGCCTCAGCCAATCCAATTAAACTGGTTTGACAAGCCCTGCAGAAGTGTTATAAGTCATTACCAGATACTCCAGGTATACTAGCAGCTTTATGGATAATACCTACCTATAAACGTGAAGGGGTAATCACGACTAAGCTTTTGATTGTTGGGGTAAAACATCCCTCAACTCCCAAATACAGAGGTAAAAGGGGGCCAAGATAACTGCCAACATCACTTCGAGGTCTATTTGAGGTATCCTCTACCACGATGATGCAAACAAGTTAGCACTACAATGTTGGTAACTTCCCCATGAAGTCCCTATATGGCATGAGTTGTATGTTCCTTTCCATTTGCTTCTCCATTATTGGGGTAGTGTCCCTGAACCCCTGTGGTCCTCCTCTTGAAGCTCCCCTCGAACCCTATCTGAGTAGTGTTGACTTTGGTGGTTGAACCTAGTAAGATNNATACTATACCCAAAAGGAGGATATCATCTTACTCTAAATTGGGTACCATAGTATCCCCAAATAAAATACTACTCATCTGGGCCCCGTAGCACCCGCACGCGTTGAGGCCGTTGCGGCTCCTCACCGTCAGGTGGCGGCGGCTCCGGGGCCTGCGTTTTCACAAAGAGTAACCACCAACATGCATGCAATCATATACCGACATACTTGGAGTTTAAGGATTGAAGTTTAAGGATGTAAGCTTTAGGATGTAGGATATAGGGTTTAGTTTAGGATGGAAGGTTTTGGCGTGTTCGGTTCAGGGTCGATTGCACGGCGTCGCCTTCGCACGCTGGTGCTCAATGCGTTCGCCTATAGTGAATTAGGATTAAGTTCAGTTTAGGGGCCAGGAGGACTTCGGGGTTGGAGGGTATGATAATGATGTCCATGAAAAGCGCCACGTTGTTGAAAGTGGCGGAGATCCACATTAACTTCTTGCCTCACCAAACATCCAGCAGTCCTTGTTTCAGCGAATGCACATGCACAATGACAGTGTTCATAGCAGAAGACAATTCACTTGCTGCAATTCCTAGGATTACTAAGAGCAGGCCCTGCAGCTGTATAGGTACAGTAAGGGTCCAAGTGCCCATGCACCACATACTTTATAGGCCCAAATGGGTTCCTACTTACATGGTATACTTTGGGGCGTAAGTATGTATTGGGTACTGCCCCGCCTCAGCAACAGGTGGAATAATAATTAAAATATGGTTATATATATATATATAGCCCTTAAAGGGACCCCTCATATGGACTGTTACTGGGGCGGGGGCAGTACCCAAAGCATGTACCATTTCAGTTTTGAACTCTAAGGTGAAGGCCACAAAGCAGGGCAGGCCTCCACCTCCACTTCTGTGAAGCGCCCGAAGACACGACCGTCCGCACAATGCGTAATCTGCATGCAACAGACATGCTATATCCCCAAGGGTCTGAGTGACCCTAAACCCTAGATCCTAAACTCTAAATCCTAAACCCCAAACTCCAAACCCTAAATCTCTAAACTCTGCATCCTAAATCCGCCCATAATCTACTTCCACCTAGTCTTGGGTCCGAAACCTGGCCGCTGCGTGGAGTGTTTTGCGACACTACTGTTCGGATAGAGTTGAAGGCCTGGTGGTCTGGGTCCAGCAGCCTATTCCGTGTGGCTAGTACAGTAGCTGAGCATCTGACCCTATCAGCAGGTTTAGGGTTTAAGGTTGAGGGTTTAGGGTTTAGGGTTTAGGGTTTAGGGGTTGCAGTGAGTGGCTTCGGATATGTTATTTGGAGTTGATAAGTTTGTAGACGAATCCACTGGTAGTTCATGGTCACCCATGTGAACGCCAGTTGCACCTCGACGCGTGCGCTACTGCTGACCCCAATTTTACTGTAGTAGTGTTCATTTTCTTTTCCATTATCCCAATATACCCCCAATATAGCCCCATATAACGCCTATATAGTTGTAGTAGTTCCCATTTTATTTTCCATTATCCCAATAAACCCCTAATATACTAAGTATAACTGGGGCTACCCTAAACCCTAGACCCTAAATAGCAGCTTTCATTTTCCTTTCCATTATCCCCAACTCCCTATATAACCTTATATAAGCCTGTATAACCCCATATAGCCCTATATCCCTAAACCTGGGGCTGCAACCCAATGTCCAGGCAAACCTGCTGCGAGAGCGGAGCCGCTCCTCAGGCGATGAACCCTCAACCCCGAATCAGGGGTTGAGGGTTTAGGGTCTACAGCCTCAAATGTTCAGCGTCTTGGGGTTAGGGGCTATCTAGGGGATAATGGAAAAGAAAATGGAAACGACTACATTATAATAGGGTATATGAATTGGGGCTATATTAGTTGTTATATTAAGGAGGTATATTCGGGTTATATTGGGGTTCCACTGGGGTTATATTAGGAACTCCCAGGTCTCAGTGATCTCCACGAACGCGACAACTGCAACTTCATGGCTGGGTGCTCTTGAAATCTCTTGAAGGCACAGAACCAGGCACCGGGCATGTCAGGCGTATCAGAATACACCTTGCGAGGTCTTTTGCTAGGTGAAGTCTCTCAGAACTGGTCAGCAAACGTGCTTCTAGTTCAGCATCCGGTATGCATCCAGCGCAGCTACCCTCCCAGCCTGCAGCATCCGGCTCAGCCTCAGAAGATTTGACGTTGCTTCAGCAAGGTGGCATTGTTGCTTCAAGGTCCACTCACATGTGAGGGACCGGCTCTTTGGAAGCTAGGAGATGCTGCTGGTTAGGGGTTATCTAGGGGATAATGGAAAAGAACATGGAAATGACTATATTATAATAGGGTATACATTTTATGTTACGGTTATATGATAAGGGGTCATATTAAGATAAATCTGGGAGTCGAACAAGTCCACGCATGCGGCGTACTCCTTTGCTGAGCTTGGCTTGCTCTGGTAAGCCTGACAAGGCGGGTGAGACAGTTGCAAAGCGGAGGGCTGAAAAAGGTCAGCGGCAATTGTGCAGGTTGTAACAGAATGCAAGGAAAGACACTTCATGCTATCAACCCCTGCTCTCCAAAGAACGCTGTCCCGTGCCCTCTTCTCAACTCCTTTGACGATTTGGAAACCCCAATCCCTATAATCCCGGCTTCCATTTCATTGTCCATATTCTTTTCCATTTGATTTCCCCTTGCACGGCAAGATTCTGAATTTCTTCGATGATCCTTGTCGAGCAGCGCGCCTGCAGCTGCTGCTCAAGCTCCTCTCTTGTCGGATTGCGGAAGGAGGTCCTTCCGTCTGCGTAGTAGACCTGCTTGCAACGCCCTGCTGTGATAAGACCAACCCTTCTTCCCTCATAATGATCTAAAATGATTTCTCTTGTGGCTGTTTACGGATATGCTCACCTCAACAGCCAAGCTGGAGCGGCTGCACAGGGCAAGCATATAATGGCTCCACTTTTCCTGCCACCCGGCGCTGGTTGTGCCT